GAGCGGTCTGCCTCTGTTCAATGACTGCAGGCAAATGAAGATTTCCAAAATGGCCGCTATATATACCTCGACCATTACACAGTGCTGGCTGGCTGGCTGCTGATTGGCTGATGCGATCACATGTCGTTGAGGAATGCATTATGGGGCAGCGCGCCTTGTCTGCGCGCCTTCCCCGACATCCCCGCTCCGTCGCCGCACATGTCAGCCGCCATTTTCGGAAAAATTTCGATTCGCGCGTCCGAATTAGGCTGTTTTTCGGATTCGGCACGAATCGAAATTTTTCCGATATTCGACTCGAATTCCACTTCGGATACTTCGATTCGCTCATCTCTAATTATAATGATAGAAACAATCAATGTTTGGGCTCATGGTTAAAAGGTCATGTAGAAAATCCTGCAGAAGGAGAGTTGAGTGGCTGCCTGTAGAAACCAACACGTTCCACCTGACATATTACTGGTACAGACTAGGGGGACCAAAGGAAACATGATGGTTGCTGCAGGGCAAACCATTACTTCCCCTTTGTATTTTTTTTCTTACTTCCCCTTTGTATTTTTTTTTTCTATTTTTAACAATGAGCTTCATGTTTAGACAAACCTCATGCTCCCTCCAAAGCTCCAAAAATTACAAGTAACAGATCACATACAATAATGTTATTTTAAAATATGAGTTGATAAGAATAACTCACACTAAAGCAGCTCAGAAGATCCTCCTTATTAGAATCACTGCTCTCCTTCTCTAGATACAGCTCCACAGTCTGCAGGATGCTCAGCGATGAATTCATCTTGAAAGAAGCCCAGAAAGAGCTATTATCCAGCAGGCTAGAGAGGAGTATAGCTTCTCCCAGTCTATCCCTTGTTTCCTTACCTATCTGCTCTGGGTCTGAGAAAGTGAAGAGAAAATCAAGCATCTTCAATAGATACTGCACATTGAGTGCCCAGCCATAAGACTCACTGTCACACTGTGATAGTTGAGAGACCAGGCCTATGATGTATGATACTGGATTTTTACACAGTTGGGAGGAATCAAAGCTTGGTGAAAGAGGTAATGCATTTGCCAGTCTTTGAAGAAAACATTTTCCATTAATGGATACATTTTTCCAGCAGTAATCCACAACCCATGGGTGAACGGCTTTAACTGAAAAATATAAAGATGCATTTCTGCATACTAGATCCCTAAAATCCTGCATGTTGATCCCTTTGCAGTCTTCCACCAATGTACTATTTTGAAAATCATTACTATCCCAGGACTTGTAGCTACAAGAGTTGTGATTTGTATTCAGCATCATTGTTTTTACCATTTGTCTTTGGCATAGTCTGGTTACCCAAGTCCCAGTGTCCTCTGGCATGCTGGATAATGAGTTATTACCACAGAGCTTCTCCATCAAGAATGTTTTGTTTTCAAAAAGGCATGTCTTTAAGGATTTGGGGTTCATGGACATCCCCTGCCATACATCTGAGCATCTGATATTGTTCCGCAGTTCTCTAACGACCTCAGAGCTGTTGAAGACACTAGTGCACAAGTCATTCAGCATTGACAAATCTTGGCTACTCTTTGGAAATGATGTGTTTTTGCAGACAGTAATATTAAATTCATGTGGGAAATATTCCCTGCATACCCAGACCCAAAATGAGTCTTCTTCCATGGAAGAAAGATACCACGCAGCATCAGAACAGGCAGCCTGCAAGTCATAAGTTGTATCTGCTGAGTAGCCAGTAGCATTGTAAACATTGCAGTATAAAAACACTGTAAAATTGGAGACACCAGGCAGTCCTGGAATAGAATCATTGCATACGGCTTCAAGGACTTCAGTATATGGTTGAGGTTCCTCCAGCACATCAGACTGTGATCTCTTGGACATGTTATGTGCCTTGAGCTCTGTTTTCCAAGCAGGTTTACCACACGACAAGATTGGGGGAGCTGACGGAAAACTTGTTGATGTAAAACCAAGGGACTGGACATTCCATGATATATTATGTTTTATTCCCCTGTGCAGAACACAACACTGACATCACTATCAACATCATATCATTTGGAAACAACACTGATATCAAAATGGCAGTCAGTGCAGTTTTGTTATAAAGTAGAGGAAGGTATGAACCCCTGTTGGTTTAATTTGTCATCTGTATCTCCATTTTGGAGGTGTTTTCTTCATTTTCTATTCCATTGAAAATGTCCCTAAAACAGGAATTCAGGGTATCAGGGACACAATGGCAGTAGAAACTCTTTTTATTAGTAGTGTATGCAAAGACTAGAACCTCTGTTAGCTTTTTATGGCTGTGTCCCCATTGCAGATTTCTGGCCTGTACTTACCCCATTGATAACATGTCAGTAGAACAGGAAGTGAGGTCCCACTCTCCACTCTTTTCCTAAAATGGGGAGTATGTGATCTCTTCTCAGGATGAAGTTCTCAATGCTAAACAGTCAATAGCCAGAAATGAACACCAACACTTGAGAATGAGGACATGGAAATAATCCACCGTGTGTAAATTCGAATAAGATCTGAAACATTGCTGAGGCTCCAGGGGGAACAGAGCAGCAGAGGAGCCGGGAAAAGTATGTATATGTGGGTCTGGGCCTTACTAGTAAGATACTCTGCCTCTGCCCTAAATAAGAAATGTGATAGTGCCTTTCAAACTCAGTTAAAAATGTCTTTTTGTGGCTTTTTGGCAAATTATTCAGATTCGGCAGTCCCTGTGTCTCTCTCTCTAGCTTCTCTCACTTCCTATGATCTAATGTTCTCATTGGTAGTCAACAATTGTTACCCAAGTCAGAACGAATGGTGGGCAATCATGGGCACCACATCCCTTACTATATCAAAATCTGTACTTGTTAATGATGCTTTTTAGGTGTTCCATTAACAACAAAAGTATGGATTTAGTCAGCAAGAGTTGCCGCTATAATTCATGGCAGGTGTACCACTAATCATTAGTATCAGTGGATAACTGCATGGATACAAAAGCTAGTGAACTCCACATGCAATAAAGTGCTGCCATGTTTTTGGCAACCAACAAAACCAGGTGACATTTTGACATTATTTTTCAGTGATTATTACTAGTGTGTGCCCACTTTCTCTACAAAATGTTTTAGGAGGGCCACACTAATTGAGCATAAATATATTTTTTTTAATTAAAGTACTGTTGATGCATAACACAGTGCTAATTTCTAGCCCTATTTTTTATTTCCTTGATGTATCAAGGAGAAAAGGCAAATCCCCCCCCCCCCCCCCCCCCCCCCCACCCCCCCCCCCCCCCCCCCAAAAAAAAAAAAAAAAAAAAAAAAAAAAAAAAAAAAAAAAAAAAAAAAAAAAAAAAAAAAAAAAAAAAAAAAAAAAAAAAAAAAAAAAAAGATTTTACCTTTTTTTTAGTATATTTGTGTAATTCAATACAGTATGGTGTGTAGATGTACACTGTGAATGAAGTGTCCTAGATTATTAGCCTGAACCTGCTTATAAACACAAAAATTGAGGAGGAAGCACTCAGTTAATAACGGATCATACTAAATGCCACTTGTTTTCTGTAGCAAAAATACAGGTAATGTGAAAAAAGTAGATATGCCATAAACTTCTAGAATAGCAGTATCAGTGGACAGAATACTTACCACAAGAGCAGTTGCTGCACATTACCTGAAAAAAACAAAATAGATAAGTGTTGTCATTTTCAATCAGCTGTTATAAAAGTTTGTTGTTATAAATAATCTAGACTAGAAACATTTGATCTCCCATATTTTACAAAAATAGATCTGTGAACTAATCTACATAAACTATGATTTACATTGAATTTTTGAGTAAACCACCCATTCATCCATAGTACAGTAATTTATGGATCTTATATATTGGTTATACACAGAAAAAAAAGAAGCAGCTGCCAAAAGGCAAGCTACCAATGTAGGTTATTATACACCCAGGCAGAGTAGCTTTGCTATTACAAACAGATTTTATTGATATCTCAATTAAAAAACAAATTATATCTGCAGCAGGGGCGGACTGACCATTTGAGCACTCGGGCATTGCCCGAGGGCCCAGGATCAGTAGGGGGCCCCATGAAATGCCCCTGGTACCTTTTTTTAGGCTTTTATGGGTGTGCTTTGAGTGTGGGCAAGGACACAAGGGCCCCATGATCCCCTATTGCCCGGGGGCCCCATGAATTGTCAGTCCACCCCTGGTCTGCAGACAGTGAATTCTCACACAACCTCCTAAAACACCATTAAAATCAAAAAGCCAAAGGCAATACAGATTGTAAGGCACCAAAAATATCAATTTGGACAAGTTAGGAGCAGTAATAGTATATCCCCAGAAAGGTAATGTGCAGTAAGGGTCTCTGGAGTGTTTATGATACTTGGCAGTCTCTATAATGGTTAACACAGAGTTTGAGTTCATAAGTAGAGATGAGCGAATCGAACTTGGCGAAGTGGAATTCGTTTCGAATATTAGGAAAAATTCGATTCGCGCCGAATCCGAAAATTAGCAAACTTCAGATGCGCGAATCGAATTTTCCCCGATTGGCCGATTTTCATCCCTTCTACAGCCGGCAAAAAGTGTCCCTGCAGAGAGCTCCGCTATTTCTGACAGTTCTCTGACAGTTCCTTCACATTTACAGTGGTTGAAACATTGTATCTATTTGTTTCCATTTAGGATACAGATGTTTTTATTCGGAAACAAATAGATACAATGTTTCAACCGCTGTAAATGTGAAGGAACTGTCAGAGAACTGTCAGAAATAGCGGAGCTCTCTGCAGATACACTTTTTGCTGGAATGGAATTCTTCTTATTTTCATCCTACTTCTTCTTCTTCTTCTTCTCCTCATCCTCTTCTTCTTCTTCTTCTTCATCCTCATCCTCTTCCTCTTCTTCTTCTTCTTCATCCTCATCCTCTTCTTCATCCTCATTCTCTTCTTCTTCATCCTCATCCTCTTCTTCTTCATCATCCTCATCCTCTTCTTCTTCTTCTTCTTCTTCATCATCATCCTCATCCTCTCTTCTTCTTCTTCTTCTTCTTCTTCTTCTTCTTCTTCTTCCTCACCATCATCCTCTTCTTCTTCTTCATCCTCATCCTCTTCTTCCTCATCCTCATCCTCATCCTCTTCTTCATCCTCATCCTCTTCTTCTTCTTCTTCTTCATCCTCATCCTCTTCTTCTTCTTCTTCTTCTTCATCCTCATCTTCTTCTTCATCATCCTCATCCTCTTCTTCTTCTTCTTCATCCTCATCCTCTTCTTCTTCTTCCTCATCCTCTTCTTCTTCTTCTTCTTCTTCTTCATCCTCATCCTCTTCTTCTTCTTCTTCTTCTTCTTCTTCTTCATCCTCATCCTCTTCTTCTTCATCCTCATCCTCTTCTTCTTCTTCTTCTTCATCCTCTCTCTTCTTCTTCTTCTTCTTCTTCTTCATCATCCTCATCCTCTTCTTCTTCCTCATCCTCTTCTTCTTCTTCTTCTTCTTCTTCTTCATCCTCATCCTCATTCTCTTCTTCTTCTTCATCCTCATCATCTTCTTCTTCTTCATCCTCATCCTCTTCTTCTTCTTCTTCATCCTCATCCTCTTCTTCTTCTTTTTCTTCTTCTTCCTCATCCTCATCCTCTTCTTCTTCCTCATCCTCATCCTCTTCTTCTTCTTCTTCATCATCATCTTCTTCTTCTTCATCCTCATCCTCTTCTTCTTCTTCATCCTCATCCTCTTCTTCTTCTTCTTCATCCTCATCTTCTTCTTCTTCATCCTCATCCTCTTCTTCTTCATCATCCTCATCCTCTTCTTCTTCTTCTTCCTCATCCTCTTCTTCTTCTTCATCCTCATCCTCATCCTCTTCTTCTTCTTCTTCATCCTCATCTTCTTCTTCTTCATCCTCATCCTCTTCTTCTTCTTCTTCTTCATTCTCATCCTCTTCTTCTTCTTCATCCTCATCCTCTTCTTCTTCTTCTTCCTCATCCTCTTCTTCTTCTTCTTCTTTTTCTTCTTCATCCTCATCCTCTTCTTCTTCTTATTCTTCTTCTTCCTCATCCTCATCCTCTTCTTCTTCTTCTTCTTCATCCTCGTCCTCTTCTTCTTCTTCATCCTCATCTTCTTCTTCTTCTTCTTCTTCATCCTCTTCTTCTTCTTCTTCTTCTTCTGCTTCTTAATCCTCATCCTCTTCTTCTTCTTCTTCTTCTTCTTCCTCATCCTCATCCTCTTCTTCTTCTTCATCCTCATCCTCATCCTCTTCTTCTTCTTCTTCATCCTCATCCTCTTCTTCTTCTTCTTCTTCTTCATCCTCATCCTCTTCTTCTTCAATTGAAGCTGCTTCTGCTCCGCCACTCTGCCATTGGACTCTTGATAGTCGTCTCCCCACACTGCTGCTGGGGGGACTTTTTAACATAGGCCTCTGTATGGCCTTCAATTTAAGCTGCTTACGCTTCGCCACTCTGCCATGGGCCCCTGTACCGCCTCCTCATGCTGCTGCCAGGTCCGTAATCTGTGATGGGCCCCTGTACCGCCTCCTCATGCTGCTGCCAGGTATAGAGTGTGTCATGGGTCCCTGTACGGCCTCCCATTGCTGCTGTCTCCATCGCCACACTCTGCCATGTGCCACTTTCAGGTCTCCTCACACTGCTGGTGGGTTCCATTTTGTCATAGGGTGCTGTATGGCCTCCCATTGCTGCTGCCTCCACCGCCACACTGTGGCTCCACACTCTGGTTTTGGCCCCGTGACTGCCCAAATGAGTGAAGTGTGCGGTGATTCTAAGATCGACGGCACTCATCTGCATGTCATACTGACTGACAGTATTATTTCTCTTCCCCAGCAGACTCCAAGGGCATTTAAATTAAAGGTACAGTGTTCTGCACTAATATAAAGGCTCTCTGAAGCCTAGAAACCCTTTTAATAAGTTAAATTCGCAGCGAATAAATTCGCATCGAATCGAATTTATTCCGCAAATTCGGCGAATCAGCCGAATCGAATTTTTGAATAATTCGCTCATCTCTATTCATAAGGCTAAGTTAACTCTAGCTTTGTCAGCAGGCGTCAGATAGGCGTTTGGGAAGTGTTTTTAATGCATCTCAAATGCCAATGAAAATTCTGCACATGGTAGCACACAGTGCTGTTCACACGGAAGCGTTAGCGTCGCATCAAAACTGACGCCTCATGTCAAGTCAGGAGGAGTTGAAGCCTCCCATTCAAATCTATGGTGCCACTCTGCAAACGGCTGGCAGGCATTTGCAGTGCAGTTGCAAGGCGGTTGTGGAGCATTAATACCATTTAACTTTATTATAGGAGTTTGTGGTGCGGTTTTAACGTTTGGCAAACGCCTATCAACTGCCTCAAAACCGCACATAGGGCGTTTTGGGAGCGTTTGAGGAGCATTAAAAACGCTTCCCAAACGCCTAACGCCCGTCAAACACTATATGGGCATTTGGCAAGAGTTAGAAATAAATTAAAGTGTGAACGAGCCCTAAATCCTGAGTAAACCAGGTTGTAGGTTCAAGTTATGAATATAACAGCTGTGGAGATAATTATCCCAGCTGATTGGGTTACAGATTGAGTATCTGTCAGTGTTGTGGCATAAGGACAGAGTTCTGTGGACATAATCGGATATATCCAAGGTAACGCCTTGAGTAGTGATAAGGCTATTGTTCCGATCCGTCCAGCCTTGCATGTAATGGATGTAGTGACATGAGCCAATCAGTTAGATAGGAAGACCGTATACATGGAAAAAGAGAGAGGAAATATCTTGGTAGAGTATGGATAGAGATAGAGTATAGATCTTGAATAAATACTTCTCACATTAACTACTACTGTATGACAGGAGTTGTTAGAAGTTCAGCCTCTTTTAGGTTCTTCCATGAGCAGTGGCTCCATAAGCCGTTTAGTCGGCATTCCGTCCATATCCATGATAATGCATTGCCCATGCCTTTAAATACATGAAGGTATCATGTAACCAAATAACAGGAACTCTCTCAGACCTCCGGGATTAGTAAGACAGCCCTGGCTTCATAGGTCTATGCTCGCATGTCCAGTGCAAGGACCTTGTGGAGTGCCATTTCCGGGTGTGATGACGTCATTACATTTATGCGTTTCCTCCACCAATCATTGCGGACTTCTTTAGAACAAAGAGGGATTAGTTTCCAGCTGCTAAAATATCTTAATTTTCAATTATAAACATGAAGCAGCACCCCCTAGTGTCATAATGTCAGCATAGCAATAGATTAATGAAAAAGAATACGGACTATGGCAGAACAGAAAGATATCTCAATTTAGAGTATGTCAGGAAAGGGCTCACTGCTGGAGGTGCTGTGGCTTACCTGTGTTATGGGCTGCAGTACCGGGACTTACCAGCGAGTGCCTTTCATCAGCCAGGATCTGACCTCCTGCATCAAGCCATCACCTGAGGCTGATTGCAGGAGGTGTATTTAAGCAGCAATCATGCCTGTAACCAGTGCCTTGGTGTTTTGTTTCCCATGAGCCCTTGTTGTCCTGTACCTGTATCCTGACTCCTGTGATCTACCTGCTTGACTCTGACTACGACTGAACTCTGCCTGCACTGACCCAGCTCTCCCTTTTGACTATCCACTTGCCTACTCCTCTGTACCTGATCCGCCCGATTGATCCTGACCCGGCCTGCCTGACTATTCTACCTCTCCAGCCCTGACTACGCTTTATTCTGCCCGTGTATATATTTGGTGGATGTTTTGATTATTTGATTTTTACTTGCTTGGTGCGTTTGTATATTGGTGTGTCGCACAAATAAATTATATTATTACATTACTCCTGAAGCCTGCTATTCCCTTTGTCAGTCCACACATCTCTGGTCATATCCGAATCCTTGACAGAGTAGCAGACACATTATTGCAACTCATAAATTGTTTTTTATATTAAGTTATTTAAACAGAATATCAAAGGATTCTTTTAATCTAGAAAGACCTTGAAATTAAGTTCCATATTCAACCCCTTTGGGATTAAAGTTTCTAATGTGTATATCCAGAATTTGTCTTTCTGTAATAGGAGTTTTACAAAATCACCTCTTCTCAGAGAAATATTCAGGGCAAAAATTTCCTTTACCCTGAAACCATCTATTTGTCCATTATGTACTTCCCTAAAATGGGTTTTCTTTTCCCTTTTCTCTAGTTTTGGGTTTATTCTTTATATATCTCAGATGCTCACCTATGCAGATTCATAGTTGTCTTTTAGTTTTGCCTATATAAAACTTTTTGCATGGGCACTCAATCATATATATTACTTTGCTACTAGAGCAATTAATAAATCTCCGAATATCATAAAACTTAGTTCGATCTGCATTTGTAAACGTTTGTGTTTTTTCCAGTAAGGGACAGATTTAGCAATGCCCGCAAGAGAACATGCCCGTCACTTTACCGCTGGTGAATTTTTAAATTCAGATTTTACTAGCACATCATTTAAATTAGAAGCTCTACGTGCCACTAGTTTGGGTTGGCTGTCAATACATGTCAATGTCTCTGTGTAGTATTTTTTACTTCTTGCAATTGTTGTCCATATTTTGTAACAAATCTTGTAGGGCCCGTATGGTTAATTGTCTGCACCTTATGTTTTAGTAACTTTTAGTAATGTGTCCCTCTGTGTAGAACTGGCTTTTTTTTTTCGCTTTCCTAGGTATTTTAAGTGAATATCCTCTATCACTGAATCTGTTATACATTGATGCTGCTTCTTGTTGGAATTGAGAAGGATCAGTGCAATTTCTCCGTATACAGAGGAATTGGCCAATCGGTATACTGTACCTTGTTTTAAGGTTTCAGAATGATGACTTTTTGCATGTAACAATGTACTTGCTGCTGTCTCTTTTCTAAATGTTCTCGTTGTTAAATGGCCTTGCTCAATAGAGATCATTAAGTCCAGGAATTAAATTTCTTTAAAGTCATAGCATGATGTTAAATGGATATTCCTATCATTTTGATTTAGTTTGGATATAAAATCCTTTAATTCTTCCTCTGAACCTTTCCACAAGATCAGTATATCATCGATGTACCTCAACCATCGACCAACATGGATGAGGTACATCGGCATTCGATAAACTATTTCCTGTTCCCATAATCCAAGGTGCAAACAGGCATAGGCTAGTGCCTAAGGGGCTCCCAATGATGTGCCCCTGACTTTGTTGATAGTTTGCACCAACGAATTGGAAACAGTTATGATTTAACAAAAT